GGCAAACGAGACCCTGTCAAACCATCTGGCTTAATTGAATGAAACTCCCGCCTTTGGTGCACCCAGTTCTTTCAACCTCCATGTAAGAAGATCCAAGTCCATTGGTTGACTGTCCATCAGTCACCGAGGAACGCCCACCCCAAAATATGATCTTAATGGCTGCACCAAAAAAGAGTTCGCTCAACCTTTTCATGAGCAAACTAATCAAAATCACAATGCTTGCGCCTTTAAACTTGCCAGTAGGACTCTGCTGTTTGAGATGTTGGGTCCGTATCCGCCAAAGATTCTTTGGCTTCCGCGCCATTGAGAAGCCACGTTTGAACCTCTGCGTTCGCAGCTGGTGTTTCGATCATGGTCGATGGTGAGCTTGCAGAATAGTCCAATTGTGCTCCCAAAAAACAGACTCGCGCGACTCTCAGGCAAACAGCGTGATCTGCATTTTTCAAACGCCGATTTGGTCCCTAATGCCTGACGATATGCCAGGTCCAATCCAAACTGGCAGCACCTGAAGGTAGACCCTGCATGAGTATGTCCTCAAGTATAGACTTCATATATATTTTTGGTGACCACTCATCATATACTGCAGTGCCTTCTAGCCCCAGATGCTTGCCTCACACCCAAGCACACTAAACATGTGCACCCACAAAATGACGTGCCTTTGAAAGGCTCTAAGACTTTGAATTTGCACGTTGCTGCAGCGCGAGCACAGCATTGTACTTCAACACCTCCATCTCTGCCTGTAGATCTTGATCTGTCTTGGCAATCTTGCGACCCTTGTCGTCGACCAAGTAGTCCACCATTTGGGCCTTTTGCTGTAGTGCGAAAGGCGGTAGTGATTCCACCCAACCCTCAACAAAACCATCTATCAAAAAGGAAACCTGTTCTTGAAGCAAAAACAAAGATACAAGCAGCTCTGAGCATTTGATCGCAGCAAGAAGTTGCTCTACCAAAGTCACCCCATCAACTTTGAGGAAAGAAAAGTGGCACAGATTGATTTGCTTTTCATCACTGGTGACACCTGTATCCTTCACAAAAGTACCACATGTTCCCTTCGTCCAATAGGTGGTCAAACGCGAGTAGTTCAACTGACATTTTTCAGCGTAAACCGCTTCTTTGAAATCATCATTAATCTCAACATGGTTGTCAAAGTGGGAGATGTACTCTTTCACCAGTTGAAGGCGATCTTTGCGAAGCAACTCCGACTCCGCACTGGGTCGCTCACCTCACGAGCAGGTTTCCTAGGACGCTTGGACTTCGGGGCCCCCTTGACTGGGAGTGGGTAGCAGGGGGTTCATTATGTCCATCAAATGTTTTGCTGCGGTTTGCCTTTGGCTTCCTTGGCTTGGGTTTGGGTGCAGGAGGTGCATCATCATCATCGACACACGAACGCGATTTGCGCTTCAACACTCGCATCCGTCGTTTGGATGGGCTGGTCACAAGCTTCCTCTTGCTTTTTTTCTTGCCATTCTTCTTGCCATTCTTCTTGCCCTTGGTTCCCTTACCCTTCTTGTTCTTGTTTTCCTCCTCCTGGGTGTTTTTCTTTTTCAACTGCTCATCACGTGTCAAAATTTTGTTGTACAACTCATCCAAGATATGATGCTCTGGCCCTTTTGCTTCCCCTGTAGCAGCAGCGACAGCCTCCTGGAAGGCAATGTTCAATTTAAGATCACTAGCGGACAATGGAACAAAACAAAATAAGTGCAGTCCTTCTCTTCAACTGAAAGGGCAGCTGGACCACAGGTTGCAGGAGGCTTTGAGGGGATCATGGGGTGGGCATTGGGCCCCAAGGGCTAGCGTGGCTGAGCTGGGACCCTTAACACCCTGAAATTTATTCCGCCTCTCTTCTGCCGGAATCTCTGGGGACGGTGTGCATTGCACAGGCTGCGGTGCATTCCCTGCAGATGTGAGCGCGTACGGCTGGGTGTCCATAGTGCCCGTAGCTGGGGGCAATGATTCCTGCACTTCAACAACCGGTGTACCTGCCGACAAAAATTACCAAGTATAGGAATGCAAAACAAACCAAAGACCACGCCTTTCTTGTGAACACTTGCTGGTTCCGGTGGTGGCGGCGGTGCAGATTTCAATGAGCTTCTCAATTGCCGCAACCTTATGTATCACTAGGTTTGAAGCCCTGCTGAACGAAACATTATCACTGAGAACTTAGCTCCGCCAATTTTGATTGCGCTTCAGCAGAAGTTGAAGCAGTTGAGGCTCACCTCCAAATTCAAAACACACAAATGTATGATTTTTTGTTGGCTGCATGTAGTAAACAGTATAAACATAACATATTCGACTGAAGGTAATTGGACCAGACCTGAAGGAAGAACAGGCTGGGCTACTGGCTGGGCTGGTGGTGCATCAGGAAGGGTTGGTGTAATCCGTGAGTCCTCATTGCCCTCAGCAGGCAATGACTCATTTGGGGATACGGCTTGTTCAGGTTTAGATTGGGGTACCTGTTCGGTCGGATCAGCACTTTTGGGATGGCAACTTTCTCCTCATAGGCGTCTTCATCCTCCACCTGTTGTTCCTGCCCCGGTATTGAAAAACATATTAGTCGAGTGGAGTCAAGAGAACACGAAACTGGATCCTAAGCAAGTCCTGGACAAAGCTGCCTCGATTGATTCTAGCATTGATGTCTTCCACTACAGCCTGCGACAGCAAACAACAATTCAACAAATTGCTCTTCCTACGAGCGGTTACAAGAAAACATCCCAAAGTCCCACCGAAAGCCAGGGCTTGAGCACGAGCACCATTTCCTGGAAGGCAGGATCCTAAGGTTCAGGCATGGCGAAAAATATTCATGCTACGCGAGGCAATCCAAATGCCGTTGAGCGGCGGTGCTGGGCTCTTCCTTCCTCGCTTTCATTTTCACAAAGCCAAGCAGTTTGTGAAGGATCCAGGCCTGTTCACCAACAACCCCTTCATCTGCTGGCCATTTGAACATCTCCCGCATTGAAGAGACTTGTGCCCGCAAGGGATCCATGTAAGGGAGCTTGTTCTTGGGGTCTTCAAAGATACAGCGCAGAATTGGCATCAGAACTGGCTCGGCTGCCACAGCTGACTTTATGTCATGCAAGCCAGAGTCGGACGCCACGAAGCGACCACTGTCCTTGACAGCATCACGCACTTCTGCGGTGGATACCCACTGTTCGACCAGTCCATCAACATCACACATGATCAAAAGACAACTGGAAAAGCCCGAGCACAAAACAGCTGCGCTTGAAGAGACAATGCTCATGCGCGCACAGACACTCATTGACAATCATCCCTTCTTGACCTGCTGCTTGCTCCTTCGTAAAAATTCCTACAAAGATGCTGGTGAATTCTTGTGAACTTGGATTCTGGCTTTGTGGTCGACGGTGATCTTGTCCAAGGCCATGGCTTTCAATGCCGTGCCCAAAATATCAAAACATATCAAAACATCATTAACAAAACACATAAATACAATTGATGCATATAGCATGAAGCAGTCGAATGAATCAAGTCCAATTTGTTGCATGGAGATTCCTTCAGTGCTGACCCCTCAGTGTCACTTCTCATGTGAAACTGGAGCAGCGAGACCTGAACACAGTGCTCACAATGTCTTTCTCTGAAAACCGGGTTTTCGTCCTGCCAACCTACTTTATTCTAGGTTGAGTCTCCAAAACCGAGTTTCCTCAAGACAACCTTCTTTTTTCTAGGCTTTTGAAGGTCTAGGTATATATTAATATATATATATATATAATATATCTATATTGTTTTGTGCAAGTCCCATGGATTAGTTGCTGAAGAATCCTGCGGATTCCATCAAATGCTCTCCACTCGCCCCTTCTTGGAGGTGAGTCAAACATGTCACGTCCAACATGTGAGGCGTCAAACATATAGCACCATCATCCCCTAGGGATACCGAACCTCAGAAGATACGGCTGGACCCTCCAAAACCTACATAACAATGTCTCCAATCACCGTACCTGAGGTTTCGGTACGATTGGATCCCTACATCGTTCGCTCCCATGTAGGCCCTGCAGGAAAGGAAGCGGATTCCCTTCAGGTGGCGGATTCCCTTCCTTGTGTAGCACCAATCAAGTCGGGCGCATGTTGGGGGGGGCTTGGTTTCTGAACTTGGCGCACAAACGACAGGCAGCACCAGTTCCAACACGGACTGGTTGATACCCTAGACCTCTCTCGTTGGGATCATGCGGAAGACACCCTGGAGCGAGGGTCCAGGTAGATATCGAATGTACCTTCTTGACCTCCATAGAGATTCTGAACCAAACGTGCTCAAACCCATCATATGTATCCACATACCCTGTTCGACACTCGTTATGCAAGTACCTTGTGAGGGATCCAGTCATACCCTGTGAGAAGGTAGGACTGGACTGGATCCCTAGCTGACTCTTAGTAAGGAATCCTCGGTACCAATCCAGGGTTGGTGCGTTCCCTCCCGAGCCTATGAGTCGCATGCGCCCGATCGACGCTTGGCGTCATGACATTCGGATCCCGTGGCTCTCGTGTCATCCCTGATCGACCGAATCCGCGAGCGATTCCACGAGCGCCGGCGAGGCCGGGTTAGACCGTCGGTTGGACCCGGAAGTCGTTGGGTTTGGACCTGTGGCTACGTCCGACCTAGACCACCCAAGAGGTGGATGAAGAAGAGGCGAACGATGCTGATCTTCAACAGATCTACATCCCAAGCATGGCATATTTACTTGCAAAACGTGGTGTTTGAGACAGGATCAATGTATAAAGGGATATGTCATATACACCCTGGAAGATGAACATAGCACCTGAAAACAACTGGCTGGTACTTCGGAAGCTGGTTCCTCAGGTCGTCAGCTTCCATGACCCCTGGGTCTTGGAACCCAGGAGACCCCCATGCATTGGACCCACATGGAACCGGGCGGCCGGCATGGACCAGGAAGACGACTTTTCCTCTACAAACCAGTGGCTTTCAGGTTCCATGTGGACCTCTTCCAGAGTGTACATACCCTCAGACCTCCGTGTAGCATGAGGCCCCCCACACGCTCGGGCTTACGCGGCGGTCACCTCTCGCTGCCTCGGTTTGGGCCGAAGAAGGAACTGAAAGGGTCCCAATCGCAGCGATTTCTGCAAAAGTGGATGCAATGACTCAACTGAACTTCTGACTGGATGTGACCGGACATTCATGCCATTTGTGCTTGTCTTGGTTCAGTGGATTGAAGATTCCGTGGGATCTGGAATTTGGATTTCAATGTTCGAGTGTTGGAGCCTGGGCATTTGGAGATTCCGTGTCTCCCCAAACCACCTGAAACTAGAAGCATGGAAGAGTTCCGCGTTACCACCTGTTACCACCACTTGGAGGCCCTCGCACTGAATCTGTTGGCTGGACTGCAGCAAGGAATCCCATTTCAAACAAACAAAGTAACATATCATAACAAATCACTTGGTTCATGCCATCCGATAGCCATCTGTGCCATTTTGGCAGAGTGTTCTTTTCCAACTCAAACCCTGGTTTGTATGGCTTCTATATCAACGGCATCAGGGGCTATATGAATTGTCCACCTGGGGCATCTGATCGTGGCCTCACCTGGAACGAGTACCAACCCATCGAACCTTCAATACTCTTCAATCAAAACTCCTCCCGACAACTGGTGGAACTCCTCTGGATCACCTCTGAGTCTGCACCAAGTGGAACCAGGCATGACGCGACTGACGCGACGCAATGCTGGGAATCCCCTCCAAGAAATCTTGCGGCATCTCAGCACAGCTGAAGAGATGAATGCCGCCTAAACCGGAACCGAGAATCGCGGACTGCCTGCCTGCCTGTATGCATCCCATGTATGATCATGTATGTAGGTACGCACATACGTATCCATCCATGATATATCTTCTGCCAAAAAGGTCCTGTCTTGGCTCCTTTCCAGTGCTTCACGACGACCTGTCCACCCCACTGGGGCTTTTCCAAAACGAACCATGTCCACCGGCCCTGGTCGATCGCGCCTGGACGGGAAAAGCCCGGGATCTCACTCTGAACCGCTTCTGGCCACACGTGGAGACGAGGACGCCAAGAGGCTCGCGCCCGGGGCACCGGTGGTTTGTGGCCGTCCGAAGGGTCCGAATCTGCGCCCAGAGGGTCCGCCCGGTCCGCCCGTGCGCCCGGCGACATGTGTACTGAAAACTCCCGAAGGGACCATCCGAAATTCGAGGATGGAAGTACCTGGACTGCCTGTGTAAGACTATATGTCGGTAAGTGGGGCAACTATTCCAAGCTTGCAGATCCCGTCTGGGGTTCTTCAATGATTCAACACACCCCAAAATTTCTAAAGTTTGGACCCAACAATTGAACGTACTGTAGACAGAATCAAAAGCCAACTTCAACTCATTTCCATGCTCGAAGGGCTTTCCGCGTTCAACAAGCTCAACAAGCACACGCAGTTCCGCCCTGGCTATCGGGTTGGCCAGGACATAAATAGAACTATTTAAACAATAACATAGAAGCAGAACAAGCCCAGAAAGCAGGCCCAGATCCTGAGAGAAAGGCAGAAACTCAATAGAGAAGGAAAAGAAGTACTAGTACGGGTCCCCCAAAACTTATCCTTTGATGATGACATGCTCATCAAGGATCGCCTCAGCAGAGGTCCATTCACAAGGGATGAGCCATGTAGCCAAAGGGTTGGTTGATCTTTCGACAGCATTGGAGCTTCCACACAGGGGGCACGGCTCCACATTTGGCAACAGGACACCCATAGAACATATGAAAAAAAGAAAGCTGACTTCTACGGAAGGGGCAAATGGCATGGCAAAAGTTGCCAGGGTGAAGTTGTTGTGCCTTGCCAAAGGACTGGCAACAAAACAATCGTTTTTCTGCCAGCTCAATCAGGCTGGATGTATATATCCTACATAAGAATTTAATTATGCAGTTGTAGCAAATCTATAGCAGTCGCAATCTGTAAGCAACAAGCGGCGCGCCATGACGCAACAAATAAGCATAATTGTCTTCAGTCAATGCACATTTACTCAATCTTTCCAGTTTCCCGTCTTGTCAAGGGTCTACATCTAAAATGTTAACTTTGCTAAGGATTAAACTCATCCATAAAGATTGCCATACGCCATACGCCACCGCTGAGCAAATCCATCCAATCAAAGGCGCCCAATCCCAAATCACCAGCTTTCTGCCACTAGCTGAGCCTTTCGCTGAATCCCAGGTCCCTCCTGTCCTCCCAAACAAAAAACACCTGTCTCTCCACCCTAGGCGTCTTGGCCGTGGGGATCCGAGGCACGTTTCTCATTCGAGGAGTCACTTTTTCCAGAGCTTGTCCTGCTGGTGGCTCTTTTCTGAGACCTGCTGATGGACCGTTCGGAGAGATGCGAGAATGCGAGAGCATCTCGGTCTGACAAATCTTCAGATCTACGGATGCGCCCCGTGTTTTGGACTGGGCTCCTGGTGATTGTGAACTCTCGGACCTGAGGTTTTTCAGGTCAACCTTTTTGGCGTTAAAACATGTGAAAACCCCAGAACTATGGAGGTCTGGACCCATCACAAACTAGAGAGATGGAGCTAGGCTGGTTGGTCCAACCTCTGCAGGGAATCCCGAGAACTCTGCATACTTGTTGAGACTTCTTCAGCTTTGTGGCCTAGATTGCTGCTGAGCAAGATCATCTCGAAATCAGCTCAACAACATGTGACACGGCTTTTGCATGGCAGCATATACGATTCAATGATCATATGCTCCTCCCGCACCACGCAGTAGAATCCTGCCAAAGTTGATCTTCTGTGTGCCCGCCGTACCAATTCAGCATACTTCGCCGGTGTTTTCGCACCAATTCAGCTTACAACAGGGTGAAGAACCCAGCCATGCCGCCATGCCCATCACTCCGGATCCCAGTCACCACCAAACCAGGAACCCTCGGTCGGTCTATGGTTTGAGTCTATCCAACCAACTGATGACCAAGCTCTATATATATATATATATTATAAGTTGCCTGGATCTGGGACTCATCCGGTACTTCTTTTGGGAGTCGATTCCCTCCACTGGCCCTGGGACGCACCCGCAGCACTGCGGGGTGTGAATGGTCCCCGGCAGGCCTCCCCGACTCTCTGGAATGGGCAATGGAGGAGCCGCTGTCGGAGGCCAACCAAATCTTTGGGATTTGGCCCTGGATTTTCGCTGCGATGGTTTTTTCTCTCACGAGAAACTGTGCGAAACTCGGCCCAGAGTCGGGTCTAAGTGCCGCTGGGAGTCGTTTTCTCTCTTTAAATAAGGTTTTAGCCAGAGCCGCTGCTGGAAAGCGAAGCCAAATTTGAGAAGGGCAGAATAGTGCAAAGGAAAGAAAAGCCTCAACACGGTGGGATCTGAGACACCCATTCCACCTTCAATCCAGGGTCTGTCCGGAGCAATCATGACCGCCAGGGCCCTTTAGTTAAGACATGTTAAGACCATCTTTACCTCCTCTTCGAACAACACATATTGTCCATGCTGTCGCAAATCAGGCAGATGTCGCTCCATGAAATTGGGCAGATCCCACGGAAACTTCCAAGAGGTGTCATCTGAGGTGTCTAAGACTAGCTAGCCTCGACAAAAGGTGAGGAACGAGATATTCCAAAAACCCGCAGCCTTGGGGTCGGCCTGGTAGATCCGCGATGGTTCTTGGATTTGATTTGCAGAAAGCCGGGAAATAACAACAACCATATTTCCCATGCCAGGGGATTTGCCCAGGAACCAGGAAAAGAAACTCACCTTCAACAAAAACCTTGGTTCCTATTGGTTCCTTCTTATGGAAATTGGCATGTGCGGCATATATAACCGATATTTAATATATTATAGTGTATAAATACTGTTTTGGTGAGTCTGTTTGTGTGTACGCACTATGACATGAACACTCACGGACTACTTATATAAAAACTCTCATTCACCGGAAGCTCAAATGGGATCAGACCCGATACTCCGTATGACATTGGTTCCTCAGTCTGTGTCCGGGGAAGAACTGTTCAGCGCCACTCCGCAACAGTTTTCCAGGATCATGCGACTCCTCCACACTCTTCGAACGACCATGGCATGCCTGCCTGCTCGAAGAAGGAGGATGCTTCGCTGCTTTCTGGGCAGGAGAGGACGTGAGGAGACACATCTGGAACCAGGGTGTCTATACACATTGTAACTGAATTTCAAGCTTAGTTTCTCTAGACAAAGCTGCAAGACTGGTGAAGATAGACGAACCCGTCGAATTCTTGTTTCTTTGTCGGCTTTAGCCGGTGGTTCATGAGGACAGGGAGCTGCCGATTGACGATCGTTGCCCGGACTGGCAAGCTAATATCTGATGAGACACTCTCCATCAAATGGGGGGGAGTCAGCATTGCCTCTGTGTCTTTGAGGGCCCGGATTCTTAGGGGACATGAATGATGCATGATGCGAGTATTGTCATCATCGTCACTGTCCATATTAGCTAGCCTTATCGTCACGGGTATTCATAGCCCTCCTTCCAAAGAGCCACCCTAATAATTCTCTGCCACATAAAACGACAACTTCTGGAAACAAGATGGCCATTGTTGTGAGGTCTTCATGATGTTTGAGTTTTTCATTCAGGGTTGTTGGGAGAATGTCGATATGAGAGCATCCTGTCAGAGTTCTGTCCAAATGCCCATTGATTCAGACTGCTATCCCAGCCTGTATCCCTTCATCGTGTGCATCTCGTTCGTGGTTGAAACACACAGGGCCAGGATTTCTTTGGGGTTCGAACCGGGTGAGGCCAGTTTCGTCAGTTCTTTCAAATGTGGCAAGGTGCTGTGAATGTTTCAAATGTTGCCAGTACACTTTGAACAACAAACGTCTTCCACCATATGTGCGCACATCATGACCATAAATTGGCAACCATCGCTGATACATAGAAGGCACGGATGAGATGGCAAATGCTTTGCACATTGTTGGTCGTTGTAAGCCATGCTGAGATCTGCATGGTGTGTGAAATTGAGGAACCAATGAACATCCTTCTGGGACAATGAGACACATCCTAGGAATAAGATGAATCGTTCTCAAACCTTCAAACTGTTCCTCCTATAATAGAGAAACTATGAGAAACTAGATTCCGCCACTAGATGCGGTATGACGACTTCGCCAACTTTTGCTGGGTACAGGACCACTATATATGGCTGTAGGTCGAAGCCCAGAGCCCCAAACCAGGGTAGGTTGACCTCCTTTGTAGTCCATTTTGTTCATTTGCTCTGGTCAACCAAGGTACCCCGGTTTTGACCCACAGCCATATAGCTACATCACCGTCGACAGTCCATCGCACTGGGCATACAATTTGCTCCTCACTTGGCCAATGGGCTCGTGACAAAAATGAGCCCCAAAGGAGTCTAGCAGGAGTTCCACGATGTGTTGACACCCCCAGTTTCCCTGCAAACATATGGTAAACTCTTTGCAGATGATCCCCTTAATTTTGTCAAACTCTTTCCTGCAATACTAGCGACCTTTCAACAACAAATCTGGTAACTTGTTCAAAGTCCGGTACCCCAACCCCACCCCTAAATTCATTTGGCTGAAGTTTTTTCCCACATGTCCTTCAATACCAACCGCCACCCTTTTCTAAGAAGAGATTTTGGCCTTTGGGATCCTCATGAACTTGAAATCTCTCCTGCTCCACATTAACATGATTTGGTTCCCCGGACCCATGACCCCCTTCAGTCATCATGCCCCGACATTGCTGGTACAATGAAACACCATCACACAGAAGCAAGCAAGCAAGCAAGCAAGCAAGGCAAGGCAAGGCAAGGCAAGGCAAGGCAAGGCAAGGCAAGGC